AAAATCTTGAAAAACCTTATAAGAGTGGTTTTGAACTCTATATCCAGTAGTTTGCTTTCCTCCATTTCTGTCATTTGTGACCTATTTCTTTATCTCTGCATTTTTTATGCTTCCCTGTGTTGATAGAGTGGCTTTCTGTGCTAGGTGTTCTATAGGGCTCAGTGGCTCAGCCTCCCCAATTAGCTGAGGTGGACACTCTTGGTGCACCCCTTTGTGGGCTTTGTGCACAGTCTTGTTGTAGTTAAGCCTTGATTGTTGTAGGTATCACTGGGAGGAATTGACCTCCAGGCCAATTGGCTGTGAGAATCAGCTGTGTCTGCAGTGGGAGAACTTCTGTGCTGGAGACACCCTTATGAGGCAAGACTTGCTTCAGTGGGGCTTTGGTGCTCACTGAGTCTGCCCCCTGAGTGTGTCCCTTATGGATCTGAGGAGTTGTAATTGGTAGGTCCCACTCTGACCACTGGGTACACTGGCTCTTGGATCTAAGGAGGTGCTAATTTAGCCTCTGCCTGAGGCTACCCAGCAAGAGCTATGGAGAGATCTGCAGATTCCCCTTCCTTGTTTGGGGTTTGGAGGTGCCCAGATGAGGCCCAGCTGTGAAGCAATGCACAGCTGGTGTGGGGCCTTGGGCCTTCTCTTAGAAGTTCTGGGTCTGTCTGGCCCAGCTGCAGTTTGTTAGGTAATTTTCAGATTGCAAAGGGCCAGGCCTTCATATGCAAAAGCCTCTGCTGCAGCTTGGGTGAGGTGGGGTCTCAGGGGATCAACAGGGTGGAGCAAGCAGCTATGGCTGATCATCAGCCCTGCCCTAAGGGGCCACGCGTCTCAGTGTCCCGGCAAACGCTGCAAGTACCTTTGAGAGAAAGCCGCTCTCGAGTTCCGAGTTCTGCCCACTGCCAGACAGTCCCGTTTCTCCCTGTATGAGTCTTGGTCCCCAGAGACTCACCCTGAACTGGAGTTCAGAGCATTCGGGGGCTTGTGACTCCCTCCCGATTCAGAAAGACAGCCATGTCCCCAGTTTCCAGCCCTTGCCGCGTGCGCCTCCGTACCTCTGCACACCTCCTCTGAGTCTCAGTGTGCTTTTGTCTTTCCTTCTAGTTGTAGAATTTCCACTCAGCCAGCCTTCCTGTGGTTCTGGATGGTGTCCGTTTTGTCTTTTAGTTGTATTTTTGAATTTGTTGTCGGAGGCAGCAATTTCCGGTGTTTACCTATGCTGCCATCTTGGTTTTTCTCGCAAGTAAATTTAATATTAAGAAGAAGTTAAGGCCCTAGCTGGTCTGGCTCAGTGATAGAGTGTCAGCCTGTGGTCAAGGGCACATGCTCGGGTTGCGGGCTCAATCCCCAGTAGGTGGCGTGGAAGAGGCAGCCAATCAATGAATCCCTCTCAATCTTGATGTTTCTGTCTATCTGTCTATTCCTTCCTCTCTGAAATAAGTAAAAAAGAATACAGACACACACACACACACACACACACACACACACACACACACACTAGTGGCCTGGTGCACGAAATTCATGTGGGAGGGGGGATGTGTCCCTCAGCCCGGCCTGCACCCTTTCCAATCTGGGACATCCCTCTCGCAATCCGGGACCGCTGGCTCCTAACCGCTCGCCTGCCTGCCTGATCACCCCTAACCACTCTGCCTGCCGGCCTGCTCGCCCTCCACCCCCCGCCACTGGCCTGCTCGCCCTCATTCCCCCCCCCCCCCACCGCCGGCCTGATCACCCCCAACTGCCCTCCCCTCCTAACCTGATTGCCCCTAACCGTCTCTGCCTCGGCCCCGCCACCATGGCTTTGTCCTGAAGGTCTCCCGGTCTAATTGGCATATTACCCTTTTATTAGTATAGATTTTTTTTTTTAAGTTTTCTCCTGATGTTAGGCAACTCCTGGGTTCCTCCATCTTTTGGTCATTGGGAGTGTGGCAGGTAGACGGCTTCTGGAGAGGGAACTTCTCCCTCCATAGGGGACACTCTGAATTGGTGTCATACCACTAGGTTCTTTTCACTTTTTTGATAGTATCATTGAGGCAGCACAGAAGTTTTAAATTTTGTGTAGTCTAATTTATCTTTTTTTTTAAGTATATTGTTATTTATTTTAGAGAGGAAGGGAGAGATAGAAACATGTGCCCTGACTGAGAATCGAACCGTGACTTCCTGATTCATAGGTTGATGTTCAACCACTGAGCCACACCACCAGGCTAATTTATCTATTTTTTGTTTTTTTGTTGTTTTTTTAAAAAATATATTTTATTGATTGTTTTACAGAGAGGAAGGGAGAGGGATAGAGTTAGAAACATCGATGAGAGAGAAACATCGATCAGCTGCCTCCTACACACCCCCTACTGTGGATGTGCCCCAACCAAGGTACATGCCCTTGACCAGAATTGAACCTGGGAACCTTGAGTCCGCAGGCTGACGCTCTATCCAGTGAGCCAAACCGGTTAGGGCTATTTTTTGTTTTGTTGCTTGTTCTTTTAGTGTTATATTACTACTCTTTAAGGGTGTGTTGATTATGCCTTGGGTTTAAGATTTAGTAGCAGAAATAGTGGTGATGCAGTTAGCAGGGCTATAGAATGCAGAAGGGGAAGGGTGTGTGTTTTAGGGTTGGGAAGTACTTGGGCAACAGAAAGGCAGTAAATCCCATTTTTTATATACTGTACTGAGTTTAAGGTACAGAGAAGA